TTTTTTCCTGAGACAGAGTCTCGTTCTGTTGTCCAGTCTGGACTGTAGTAGTGCTGTCACAGTTGACTGCAGCCTCAACCTCCCAGGCTCAAGCAATCCTGCCATCTCAGCCTCCCACGTGGCTGAGACTATAGGTGCTTGCCACTATGCCCAACTCATATTTGGAATTTTCCTATACGTGGGTTCCAGAGGGGTGACGGCGAAACGTGAGTAAGCATGGATTTTGGTATATGCAGAGATGTGGGGCTGGAACTAATTCTGTCTGTATACCGAGGGACGACTCTATATGTTTTTACAATTATGCTGTAGGACACATAGTATTACATAGCCTTGAAAATAATAATTTTTAACTGAGTGGAGTAATGATAATATTGATAAAATTAGCAGCTGGCCAGGTGTGGTGGCTTACACCGGTAATCACAACACTTTGGGAGGCTGAGGCAGGAGGATGGCTTCAGGCCAAGAGTTTGAGACAGGCCTTGGAAACAAAGGGAGTCACCATCCCTACAGAAAAATACATGAATTAGCCTAGTGTGGTGGCATGTTCCTGTAGTCCCAGCTACTTGGGAGGCTGAGGTGGGAGGATCGCTTGAGCCCAGGGAGGCTGAGACTGCAGTGAGTCATGATCAGGCCTCTGCACTCCAGCCTGGGTGACAGAGTGAGACACTGTCTCAAAACAACAAAAAAGTAGCAGCTAACATCAACTGAGCTTTTACCAGTTGCCTGTTAATACCATGGTTTAATTTCTTATAATTGTTTCTTATTTCACTTAACCACTCTGTCTTCCGTTACTCCCAGATTTTCACTGTGTTTGTACAGATGACCTTTGTTTAGATTGAATTGTCTCCCCAAGGTATTTGCAGAAGTAAGATTACTGTGAGTCATGGTGACTCACAATTTACATCATTACCCTTGATGTAAATTGACAAGGTTTTGGGTGCCTCCCAGCTATAATCTCAGCACTTTGGGAGGCTAAGACAGGAGGATTGCTTGATGCCAAGAGTTGGAAGAGGCAGTATGGCAGTATGGTGAGACCCTGTCTCTATTATTTTAAAAAATTGTCAAGCTTTACCCTGGAAGGCTTATATGCAATTTAAACACCCGTCATAGTATAAGAAAGTGCCCATTTCACTGCATCTTTGCCAGTACAGGGTATTAAAATTTAATGTCATTTTTTGTTCATTTTAAATTGGTAAAAGACCTCATATTACTTTACTTGTCACATTTCTACATCTTTCTTTAGCTTATTAGCTCTATTTCTTTTCTGTCTGTGAAAGGTTGTTGTTTTGTTCTTTGAGACAGGGTCTTGCTCTGTCACCCAGGCTTGACTGTAGTGGCATAATCATGACTCACTGCAGCCTTGATCTCCCAGGCTCAAACTTCAGCTTCCTGAGTAGCTAAGACTACAAGTGTGCACCACCACTCCCAGCTAATTTTTTTCTTGTTTTGGATAGAGACAGGGACTCACTGTGTTGTCCAGACCGGTCTCTAGCTCCTGGCCTTAAGCAGTCCTCCTGCGTTAGCTTCTCAAATTGCTGGAATTTTGGGTATGAGCCACCATGCCTGGCCTGGGCTAGTCCTGATTTCTCTAGAGTTCTCTTTACTTTGTGCTAGCCAATCTCTCATTATGCTGTTCCCCTGTTACAATGAATAATTCTCTGGATTAAATTTGACCACTTTAAACTTTTGAGTGGTTTATGTCTCCTGATTGGACTCTGACTAGTATGCTCGGAAGGGTCCCAGGAGATAAACCCACACAGATGGGATTTGGGCGTAGGTTTGATTGTCCAAGGGACAGTGCTGAGCTCCTTGCCAATGGGAAATGGGATGCTGGTGATTTCCGGTAAGTGACCTCACAGTGACTCAAGCTACCACTTACTGTTGATTGTGATGAAATGCCAACGAGGCACATGCCTTGGGAGCTAAGTGGTTGCTGCACTTGACCGCTATGAAGACTGGTGTGGGAAGGGTCCTTTTGGATGCACTTGAGCGGGGGTCCCCAACCCCTGAGCCATAGAGCTGTAAGGAGCCACACAACAGGAGGTGAGTGGTATCGAGTGAGGGAAGCTTCATCTGTATTTACAGCCACTCCCCTTTGCTCACATTCCCGCCTGAGCTCCACCTTCTCTCAGGTCAGCAGCAGCATTAGATTCTCATAGGAGCACGCACCCTGTTGTGAACCGTGCGTGTGAGGCATCTAGGTTTTGCTGTCCCTATAAGAATCTAATGCCTAATGATCTGTCACTTTCTACCGTCACGCTCAGATGGGACCATCTAGTCGCAGGAAAACAAGCTTAACATGCCCACTGATTCTACATTATGGTGAGTTCTATAATTACTTTACTGTATATCCGAATTTAATAATGGAAATAAAGTACCTAATAAATGTAACATGCTTGAATCTTTTGGCCCAGGTCTTGCCTCCCGGCAGCCTCTGCAGCCTCTCCAGGCCCCGAACTTTCTCCAGTCGGCCTCTACAGACCAAGCTCATGACTCACAATGGTCTATTTAGGCCCGTACTCTACCTCACGGCAGTCTCTGCAGATAAGGCTACTGCCTCAACAGCCTCCACAGGCCCAGCTCCATCGTTACCACGGCCTCTTTAGAGCCAGCTCCTGCCTCCCAGTCTTCTCTCCAGGCCCAGAACTTTCTCAAGTCGACCTCACCAGACCCAGCTTCTGCCTCTCATTGCCGTCCCAAGGGCCAGCTTTTGCCTCACGGCCACCTTCCGAGACCCAGCTCCACACTTATAAATACCTTCTGAAGGACCCAGCTCTGTTTTTCTGAGGCCTCTGGACCAAATCTTCTGACTCCTGGCGGCCTGTGTACAGGCCCAACAACATACAATGGCCTCTTTAGTCCCGACTCCTGCTGTCTTTTGCAGGAGGCCCAAATCCTTAAGTCCAGGCCACAGTCAGGCCCCAGAGATGTGCAAATTAGGCCTCTAACCTCCCCTTTCCTCTCCGCCTCAAAGCGTGCCTTCTGTCCTGAAGTAACCTCTACAAGCCTCCCAGCAGCCACAGCTGTGCTGGGCCCAACTCCTGCCTCAGAACAACCTCTTTGGCTCAACTCCTGGTGGCCTTTGAAGGCCAAAAGTGCCTCAGAGCCAAGCTTTCCAGGCCCACCCTCCTGTCTAACGACCTGGCCTGGACAGGCCCAACTCCTGTAACAATGGCTTCTCAGGCCCAGCTTTTGCCTCACCTGCCTCTCATTGCCATCCCAAGGGCCAGCTTTTGCCTCACGGCCACCTTCCGAGACCCAGCTCCTGTTTTACGGTGGCCTCATGAGGCCCATCTTCTGACTCCTGGCAGCCTGTACAGGCCCAGCTCCTGCCTTACAATGGCCTCTTTAGTCCCAGCTCCTGCCTCTTTGCAGGAGGCCCAAATGTCCTTAAGTCCAGGCCACAAAATCCAGGCCCAAAATGTCCACAAGTCGGCCTCTCAAGGTCCCGCTCCTGCCTTTCATTGGCCTCTCCAGGCGCAGCTGCTGTCCCCAGGTGACCTCTACAGGCTGCGCTTTTGCTTCTGGCTGTGCTGGAGGCCCAACTCCTGCCTCAGAACAACCTCTTTTGGCTCAGCTCCTGCCCAGTTCCTGGTGGCCTTTGAAGGCCCAAAAGTGCCTCAAGTCAAGCTTTCCAGGCCCACCCTCTACCTCCCAGTGGCCTGGACAGGCCCAGCTCCTACGTAACAATGGCTTCTCCAGGCCCAGCTTTTGCCTCACGGACATATTCCCCAAACAAGCTCCTACCTGCCTCCCGGCCACCTCGACGGGCCCAGATCCTGCCTCACACTAACCTCGTTAGGCCCAGCTCATGCCTCACTGTGGCCTGTCCAGGCCCAGGTCCTGCCCCCCGACAGGCTGTCCATGCCCGAAACTTCCTCAAGTCAGCCTCTCCAGTCACAGCTCCTGCCCAACATTGGCCTCTTTAGGCACGGCTCATGCCTTGGTGGCCTCTCCAGGCCTCTCCAGGCCCAGCTCCTGCATCCTGGCAACTTCTCTAGACCAAGAACTTTCTCAGGTCCGCCATCCCAGGCCCAACTCTTGCCTCCCGTCAGCCTCTGTAGGGTCAACCTCTGCCTCTCAGGAGACTTTCTTGGCCACCTAGGCCAAGCTCCTGCCTTTCAGCAGCCTCTACAGGCCCAGCTCCTGCCTCTCAATGACCTCTCTAGAGCAAGCTCATGCCTCACAGCGGCCATTCTGGCTCAGCTTTTGCCTGTTGGCGGCATCTCCAGGCCCAGAACTTCCTCAAGTGGGCCTCTCCAAGCTCAGCTCTTCCTCCCAGCTGCATCTCCAGGCCCATCTCCTACATCACAATAACCTCTTTCAGCTCAGCTCTCGCCCAGCTCCTGGCAGCCTTTATAGGCCTAAAGCTTTCTCACATCACGTTCTCTAGCACAACCTGCCTCCCAGCAGCTTAAATAGGTCCAGCTCCTGCGTGACCATGGCCTCTCCAGGCTCAGCTTTTACTTAACGGAGTTCGTCCTTGGCCAAGTTCCTGCCTGCCTCCCAGCAGGCTCGAAAGGCCCAGCTCCTGCCCCCGACAGTCTGTCCAGGCCAAAATCTTCCTCAAGTCAGCCTCCGCAGGCTGGTCTCTTGCCTCACACTGGCTTCTCCAGGCCCAGCTCCTGCATCTTGGCAGCCTCTCCAGGCCCAGCTCTTGCCTCATGGCAGCTGCCCCAGGCGAAGTTTCTGACTGCCTGCCAGCAGCCTCAACAGGCACAGCTCCTCCCTCACACTGGTCTGTTTAGGCCCAACTCCTGTCAGGCCCTATCCAGGCCCAGTGCCTGCCTTCTGACTGACCCTTGAAGCCCAAAACTTCCTCAAATCAGCCTTTTTAGGCCCACCTTCTGTCTACTGTCGGACTCTACAGGCCAGCCTCTGCCTCACAGTGGTCCCTCCAGACCCAGATCATGTCTTACTGTGGCATCCTCAGGTGAAGATCCTGCCTTTCGGCAGCTTCTACAGGGCCATCTCCTGCCTTGCAAAGGCCTCCTTAGGCCAAGCTCATGCCCCATGGCGACTTTTCCAGGCACAGATTTTGCCTTTTGCAGCCTGTCCAGGCCAAGAATGTCCTCAATTTGGCACCTCTGGGATGAGTTCATTCTCCCGGCTGCATCTACAGGCTCATTTCCTGCCTCAAAACAACTTCCTTTGGCCCAACTCCTGCCGAGCTGCTGGCAGCCTCTGTAGGCCACAGACTTCTTAAAGATTTACACCTTTGGCCTCCCGGCAGCCTGAGCAATCAAACTATTCCCTCATGGTCGCTATAAAAAGCCAAGTTTCTCCCTGACTCTCAGAATCCTCCGAAAACAGCATTTGCCTCGCGGAAGCCTCCCCAGGCCACAAATCTGCCTGTCTCCCAGCAGTCTTGACAAGTCAAGCTGCCCAGAACTTCCTCAGACCGGCCTCTCCAGGCACAGTTGCGGCCTCCCGGCCTCCCGTCCAGGCCCAGCTCCTCCTACTCCCAGCTGCGGCCGCAGGCCCAGCCCCAGCCTCACGACAACGCGGGTGACCCAACCTCGACAGCGATCTTTGGTTTCAGCTCAATGACTCCCATGCTCGCTGACCTTCGTCGACCCCAAATGTCCTGAAGCCAGGCGTGTGCTCCGAGACCCCGTCCTGCTGCCTGGGGAGCGTCTCCATGCCACAGGGCTTCCTCCGTGTCAGCTCTCAGGCCCAGCTCCTCCTGCAGGCCTCTGAATCCGCGCTGGCCTCAAGTCACCTAGGCCTCTCCAGACTCGCTCCTTTATCCGGCGGCCTGGGTCAGCTCGTGCAGTCGGCCTCCACCAGCGCAATACTGCCTCCTCAGCCGGGCTCCTCCCAGCTGCCAGACCTCAGGTCAATGGCCTCTCCCAGGGTCCCAACACCTCTGCCTGCCACTGGCCTCTTGGCCCAGCCCATCCGCTGGGCAGTCGGCTCTGGTGGGACTTGACCTCCACCTGGCCTGAGCCGCTCCGCCTCCCAGACGCCTCGCAGGCCCCTCTGCCACACATGGACTCTCCCGCCCAGCTCTGCTGCTCTCTTTGACCTCTCCGGGCCAGAGCTCTAGTGCCGCTTTCGTCACACTCATGCGCTTCGCTCCTGCCTCCCAGTGGCCTCTTGGGCCACCTCATTCGTCACGGGAGCTGACCTTTCCAGGCCAGAAGTCATTGCCTTTTGCCGGCCTCTCCAGGCTGAACTCCTGAGGCCGGCCTCTCCAGGCCCAGTTCGTGCCACCCGGTCGTCCGGGCCCAGCTACTCTCTGACTCCCGGCAGCCTCTTTGGACTCGGCTCAGAGAGGCCCAGCTCCGGCTCCGCGACCTTTTTTGGGCCCCAGAAAGTCCTGAAGCCGGGCCCCAGGTTGCCTCTCCGGGCCCGGCTCCCTGCCCTCCGACGGCGTCCCCAGCCTTTGCCTTTCGGCGGCCTCTCCAGGCCCCGAACTTCCTCAGTCCGGCCTCTCCAGGCCCAGTTGCGGCCTCCCGGCCTCGTGTCCAGGCCCATCTTGTTGTGGTTTCGTCTGCGGCCGCAGGCCGATCTCCGACCTCACGACAACCTCTTTGGACTGGGCTCCGGCCCAGCTCCCTCTCCGCGGCCTTTGTAGGCCCCAAACGTCCTGAAGCCGGGCCCCACGGTGGCCTCTCCGGGCCCGGCTCCTGCCCTCCGACGGCGTCTCCATGCCCCAGACTTCCTCCACCCAGCCTCTCCAGGCCCTGCTCCTCCTCCCGGCGGCTTCTGCAGGCCCTTGCTGGCCTCGGGTCGGCCTCTCCAGGGCTCGCTCCTGCTCCCGGTGGCCCCTGGAGGCCCAACTCGTCGCCCAGTCGGCCTCTGCTGGCCCAGCTCCTGCCTCTACTCGGCCTCTCCAGCTGCCAGACTTCCTCCGGACAGCCTCTCCAGGCCCAGCTCCTCCTGCCTGCCACTGGCCTCTTGAGGCCCAGCTCCGCTCACGCCTCTGGGCGGCCTCTTGAGGCCCGGGACTTGACCTCCAGTCGGCATCGCCAGGCCCAGCCTCCTGCCTCCCGAAGGCCTGCACAGGCCCTGCCTGTGCCTCACAGCGGACTCTCCACGCCCAGCTCTCGCCTCACTGCGGCCTCCCAACGCCAGAGCTCCTCCTGCCTTTCGGTATCTCCGCCGGGCCCTGTTCCCGCCTCCCAATGGCCTCGTCACGCCCAGCACATTTGTCTCGGGGAACGGCCTTTCCAGGCCCAGCCTTTGCCTTTTGGCGGCCTCTCCAGACCCCGTACTTCCTCAGGCCGGCCTCTCCAGGCCCAGTTGCGGCCTCCCGGCCTCCCGTCCGGGCCCAGCTCCTTGTGTTTGCGGCTGCGGCCGCAGGCCGATCTCCGGCCTCACGACAACCTCTTTGGTCTCGGCTCCGGCCCAGCTTCCGCTCCGCGGCCTTTGTAGGCCCCAAACGTCCTGATGCTGGGCCCCACGGTGTCCTGTCCGGGCCCAGCTCCTTCCCTCCGACGGCCTCTCCATGCCCCAGACTTCCTCCAGCCAGCCACTCCAGGCCCAGCTCCTCCTCCCGGCGGCCTCTGCAGGCCCACGCTGGCCTCCGGTCGGCCTCTCCAGGGCTCGCTCCTGCTCCCGGCGGCCCCTGCAGGCCCAACTCGTCGCCCAGTCTTCCTCTGCCCGCCCAGCTCCTGCCTCTCCGCGGCCTCTCCAGCTGCCAGACTTCCTCAGGTTAGCCTCTCCAGGCCGAGCTCCTCCTGCCTGCCACTGGCCCCTTTAGGTCCTGCCCCACTCACGCCTCTCGGCTGCTTTCCTGGGCCCCATTTCTGACTTCTGGCTGCCTCCTCAGGCCCAGGAGTTGACCTCCAGTTGGCCTCTCCAGGCCCAGCCTCCTGCCTCCTGAAGGCCTGCACAGGTCCAGCCTCTGCCTCTCAGCGGATTCTGCACGGCCAGTCCTCGCCTCACTGCGGCCATCCCAGACCAGAGCTCCTCCTGCCTCTCAGCAGCTCCGACCGGCGCTGCTCCTGCCTCCCAGTGGCCTCTTTTTACCCAGCTCTTTCGTCAAGGGGAACGGCCTCTCTAGGCCCTGTCTTTGCCTTTTGGTTTCCTCTCCAGGGCCAGACGTTTTTTAAGCCGGCCTCTCCAGACCCAGTTGCTGCGTCTCATAATCCCCTTCTTGCCCAGGTCTTCCTCCCAGTTTTGGATGCTGCTTAAATTTTTCCTCACGACAATCTGTTTGTACTCAACTCCTCTCCAGCTCCTCGTGGCCATTGAGACCGAGAAGTTTCTCAAGTCCAGCCCTCCAATTTCACTACCTTCCTTGTGGCAGCATGAGCTGTCACAGCTTTTGCCTGACTATTTCTTCTCCATGCTGCTTTAGCAACCTCACATTGGTGTTTCTAGGCCCGGATGCTGCATTTTGCTTTTTACACGTTGCCCGTCTCTTTCCTTGTGCCTGCCTCCCACGTCCCAGCTCCTGTCTTACTGTGTTGTGTGTTATACTAGCTCCTGTCTCACGATGGCCTCTTCTGGCCCACCTTCGGCGTTATAGTGGGCAGTCAAGCCCATCCTCTGCCTCTTCGTGGCCTTTTCTCCCTTTCCTCTTGCCCCACAGTCACCTCTTCTGGATCCATCTTTTTAATCTTTGGTGGTCAAGAGTATGAAGGAGCTTAAAGCTTCCCTGGACTCTTATTTATTGGTAAGTTTAAAGCAGAGTGCCTTAGTAAAACACTTGCCTCTTCTTTTAAGCTTGACAATGGATTTGTGACAAATTTATAATAAATTCTACTTGCGTGGTTTCATACTGATTTTTGTTTTATTTAGTATCTCATCATTTTTCTTTTCTTTTTTGGGTGGGAATGGGAATGAGCCTCTGCTTGGGCCCTTTTTGTTCACTCTGGACATGGTGGCTTCTCACTTCATGTCTTCTGTATTTATGTTGTTTACAGTTACTTTTTTTTAGGGTCTTGCTCTGTCACCCAGGCTGGAGTGGAGTCGTGTGATCATGGCTGACTGCAGCCTTGGCCTTTTGGCCTGAAGTAATTCTTGCCTCACAATGGCCTTTAGGCCCAGCTTATGCCAAAAGGTGGACTCTCCAGGCATAGCTCTTGCCTCCTGGCAGCCTCTGCAGGCCCCAGTTCTCTAAAAAGTTGCCTCTCCCCAACCCAGCTCCTACCTCACATCAGCCTACTGAGCCCAAACTCTACCACACAGTGGCCCTTCCAGTCCCACCTGATCATGGCCTCCTCAGGTGAAGCTCCCGCCTCACAATGGCCTCTGTAGGCCAAGCTCACATCTCCCGGTGGCCTTCCCTAGCTTAACTTTCAGCACGACGCATACTCCAGGCCCAGGCTTCCTCCGTTCAGCCTGTCCAGGCCAAGATCTTCCTCCCAAAGGCCTCTGCGAGAATCCCCGTCGTCCTGAAGTCAGCCTCTGCAGGCAGGTCCTGCCTCCCGGTACTGTGTAGGTCAAGCTAATGCCTCACAGCAGACTTTCCCAAGCCAGCGTTTACTTTGTGCATAAATCTCATACCCTCAAATTACTCAATCAGTCTTTCAGAGCCCGGCTCTTCCTCCCAACAACCAAATTGTCCTCAATTTGGCCTCTCAAGACCAACTCCTGTCTTCTGTGCTTCTGCAGGCCTAAAATTGACCTCATGTCAGCCTCTCTGGAGGCCCGGCTCTTGCCTGTAAGTAGACTCTCCAGGTGCACAACTGCCTCAAGTTAGCCTCTCCAGACTGAAAACTCCTGCCTCCCAGTGGCCTCTTTAGGACAGCTCGTCATAATGGATTTTACAATTGATTTTCCTGTTGATGGCTTCCCGAGGCCAGAACGTCCTCCGTCAGACTCTCCAGACCCATTTGCTGCCACATGATGGTCTCTCTGGCAGAGTCGTCTTCCCGGCTGTGTTTATCGGCTCAATTCCAACCAGACAACAATCTCTGTGGGCGTCCCTCTTGCCAAGCTCTGGCCTATAGGCCAAGCTTCCTCAGCGCAAGCTCACCAGAGGCCCAAGCTCCAGCCATAGAGGGCCTCTGCAGGCCTAAACCATCCTGAAATTGGCCCGTCCAGGTCTAGTTACTGCCTCCCGGCGAGCCTCTGCAGGCCCAGCCTCTGCCTCATGGCAACCTCCACAGGCCAAGGTCTTCCCCCGGCTGCATATACAGGCCCAACTGCTGCCTCTCAAAACACAACTTTTGTCTCAGCTCCTGCACATATCCTGCCAGCGTCTGTAGGCCAGATACTGTCTCAATCAAGCTCTTCGGCTTTGCCAGTCCAGGCTGCTCCTGCCTTTGACAGCTTCGGCAGGCGCCGCTCCTGCCACTCCCAGAGGCCACTTTAAGCCCAGCTCCATTCCTCTCCCAGAGGCAGCCTTTACAGGCCACTCTGCCTTCTGGCGGCCTCTTCAGGCCCAGAACCACCTCAGGCAGCCTCTCCAGACCCAGTTTCGGCCTCCCGGGTTATATTCACACAGCTCTTCCTCCTCCCAGCTGCGGCCTCCACAGACCCAACTCCCACCTCGAAAGCAACACCCTCTTTGGGCGCAGCTCCTGCCCAGCTCCTGCCAGCCTTTGTAGGCCCAGAACTTTCTCCCGTGAAGCTCTTGAGGCCCACCTCTGCCTCGCCCAGCCTGCACGGACCCAGCTCTGGCAGAAAACAGCCTCTGCAGGCCGCTCCTGCCTCCCGGGGCCTCCAGGCCCAGCTCGTGCCTCGGCCTCCCCAGAGTCACGTTCCTTCCCGGGCTCCCAGCAGCTCAGGCAAGGCTCATCTATCTCCGTGGTGGCCTGTTTACTTGTAAGGCTTCTGGCAGCTGCCTCGCGTGTCAACACAAGCCTCCTCGTTCTCAGGGCCAGGGTCCTCCTCCGCCCGGGCCCGGTGAGGCCCGGTGTCTCATCCTGACCTCTCCCGACCAGCTCCTGCGTGTGGGTAGCCTCTCCAGGCCCCATCTCTGCTGCCAGTGGGCCTTCCAGGACAACCTCTTGGGCCGTGGACCCCTTGGGCCATGGCCACACGCCTCTAGTGACCCTCTGCCAGCCTGGATCCTACCTCTGGTAGCACTCTGAAAGAGAGCCAGGTCCATGCCCCAGGGTAACCTTTGGGACCCTGGCCTTTGCTGCTTTGCACCCTCCTGAGGCCCTGAGCCGCTCCAAGTCGTCGGCCTCTCCAGGCCCAGCCTTCTTCTCCCGGCCCGGCCTCTGCAGGCTTACGCTGCCCTTGGCTTCGACCTCTCAGGAGCTCCCTCCTGCTCCCGGCCACTGCGGGCAGCAAATCCTCCAGTCGGCCTCCCGCAGCTCAGCTCCTACCTCCGCCCCACTCCGGCTGCCCAGACTTCCTCAAGTTAGCCTCTCCCGGAGCCCAACTCCTCCCGGCCTGCCACTGGCCTCTTGAGGCCCAGCCCGATCACGCCTCTGGGCGGCCTCCTCCAGGCCCAGGACTTGACCTCAGTCGGCCTCATGAGCAGCCTCCTGCCTCGCGAGCCTGCACAGGCCCAGCCTCTGCCTCACAGCCCGGACTGTCCGCCCAGCTCTCGCCTGACTCCTGCGGCCTCCCAGGCTGAGCTCCTCTTGCCTTTCGGCAGCTCCCGCCGTGCTCCTCCTCCTGACTCCCGGTGGCCTCATTGGAAGCCCCGCTCATTAAATCACGAGCGGCCTCTCCAGGCCCAGCCCTTTTGCCTTTGGCGGCCTCTCCAGGCCCGAACTACTCAATCGGCCTCTCCAGGCCCAGTTGCGGCCTCCCGGCCTCGTGTCCAGGCCCAGCTCGTTCTGCTCCTGCTGCGGCCGCAGGCGATCTCCCGGCCTCACGACAACCTCTTTGGACGGCTAAGCTCGGCCCAGCTCCCCTCTCCCGCGGCCTATGTAGGCCCAAACGATCTGGCTTGGCCCCACGGTGGCCTCTCCCGGGCCGGCTCACTGCCCTCCAACGAGCGTCTCCATGCCCAGACTTCCTTCCAGACAGCCTCTCCAGGCCCAGCTCCTCCTCGGTGACTCTGCAGACCCAGGCTGGCCTCGGCACAAACCTCTCGGGGCTCGCTCCTGCTCCCGGCCCCTGCAGGCGTGCTCGTCCTTGATCGGCTTCCGCCCAGCCCAGCTCCTGCCTCTCCTCGGCCTCTCCCGGCTGCCAGACTTCCTCCAGGTCAGCCTCTCCAGTCCGCTCTGCCTCCCGGCCTCCTGCGAGCCACGCGCTGGCCTCGGCTCGGCCTCTCCAGGAAGACTTCGCTCCTGCTCGGCGGCCCCACCACGGGCCGTGCTCGTCGCCCAATTGACCTCCGCCGGCCCAGCTCCTCTCTCCGCCTCTCCAGCTGCCAGACTTCCTCAGGTCAGCCTCTCCAGGCCCAGCTCCTCCGGCCTGCCACTGGCCTCTGGAGGCCCAGCCCCGATCACGCCTCTGGGCGGCCTCCTCAGGCCCAGGACTTGACCTCCGGTCGGCCCTGCCAGGCCCAGCCTCCTGCCTCGCGAAGGCCTGCACGGGCCCAGCCTCTGCCTCACAGTGGACTGTCACGCCCAGCTCTCACGCCTGACTGCGGCCTCCCAGGCCCCCGAGCTCCTCTGCCTTTCGGCAGCTCCGCCGTGCTCTCCTCCTGACTCCCAGTGGCCTCATTAGGCCCAACTCATTCGTCACGAGCGGCCTCTCCAGAGCCCAGCCTTTGCCTTTCGGCGGCCTCCAGGCCCCGAACCTCCTCCAGTCCGGCCTCTCCAGGCCCAGTTACGCCTCGGCCTCGTGTCCAGGCCCAGCTGCGTTTCTGCTCCTGCTGCGGCCGCAGGCCCGTCTCAAACCTCACGACAACCTCTTTGGACTCGCTCGGCCCAGCTCCCTCTCCGCGCGGCCTTTGCCAGGCCCCAAGCGTCCTGGCCGGGCCCCGGTGGCCTCTCGGGCCGGCTCCTGCCCTCAACGGCGTCTCCTTACCCAGACTTCCTTCAGACAACTCTCCAGGCCCAGCTCCTCCTCGGACTCTGCAGACCCAGGCTGGCCTCGC